AGTCAATCAGTGAGAATCTATACACCAATTCTTAATTAATAGACATTGCATTCGTCTCCGCTATGGAACAATTTTCGCTGGGTACAAATTGCAATCGAAGGTAAGTACTTTTTGTCTACTGTCCATACTTGCCGTCCGCCCAGCGCTGACACCAATTTCTCAATGCTGGCCGTATATAATAGCACACATTTTCCTATGTCAACAAAAAGATACCACAAAGTACTCCTAAATTTTGCAATGGAAGTGGATGTTTTTGTGTAAATTATGAGAGGCATTAGTAAAGGTACAGCTAAGAAGCTACTTGAATGGACGTTGTAAAGTCTTAAAAATCTCATAATTAGAAACCGAAATGTAGACGTTTTTCGAGGAATGGATTGCAAAAAGAAATGTTCTTCTATCAGCTGAGCAGCAGAAAGGATATTTTTCTTGCGTTTTTCATAAATATATTTGACTTAACGACGGCTTTGGAAACTGATAGAAAAAATCATATTGTCTATGTACTTATCCTGTTTACTAGGTGCAGTCTTTAAGGCAGCTGAAACGGCGTATGCTCAAAGACCGTCATCCTGGCATATCCTGCCTTTGCGCGATAATCAAGATCACAATCCCACTTAAGTAATCATTCCTTATCCGAAACGTATTTCTGCATTTCCGTTAATGAGACCAGACGCTGACCCCTTACCTACCATTTTAATTTATCTGCGCTTAGCGCTGATGTCAACTTCACACTACTGTCGGTATTAACTCTAAACATAAAAAAAAAATCGCTAACACCTTAAACTTCGCCCAAGTTTACAAACCTGCGCTGGGGTACATTGATACTGTATTCGACGCGGATATCAGAAGCCCTGTACCACAGATGGCCTTGCGCTAAATTTCGGGATCAGATCATTGCATGGATTCTGATAAACTAAATTAAAACTCAGTGAATATTTCTTGAAACAAAGGCAACTTGGTGCGCGACATCTGCTCTGCCTCGATTTGGAACATAATTTTTCATTTAGGTTGTGTGATTAGACTAATTTTCCTTCTGGTTCAAAGGACTATTTGTGTATTTAACCCGCTATCTTCTGTGTCCAGGATGCGCTAGATAAACTAACTTGCAGACAACGCGTTTCTGTCTTTAATCTCTAGTCCCAATTTGTTTATGCCTTCTCGGTGTTTGATCCTTCACAAAAACTTTAGCCACACGCTTAACGCGTTGTGTGCCCAAGTAGGTCCTATTTTTTATCCGAAAGAGTCACTCGCTTAGAAAAAACATTTGCTGGAGAAAACCATTCACTCAACCTAGTGGGGCCTTCTTTGTGTACAAATAGGAACCCTGAAAAAATGCATGTCCTATCAGAGAAAAACCTGTGGAGGTTGCTTAGCTGACTGCATAATGG